GCCTATCTGGGGGAAAACGGAAATCTACTCCTCGTCTCAAAGAATAAGAAAGATGTGTACCAGTGATACAATCGTTGTCAAACTAAGGAGGTTCAAAGTGGTCTTCACTGGAGGTGGATATCCTGCAAGATTCATCAAGAAAGACACGGAAAAAATGAAGTGCCGAAGAAATTTCTTGACATGGATACATAAAGGTAATACTTCAGCTGTGATTACCGCGAAGCACTTATTTAGATTTCTGAGTAAAGCTTTGTGGTCCATCGGGCTACAGAACAGTTTATTCCGCCGGAAAATGATCTCTCGATGTGTCAGGAATAAACTATCATTTTAGCCGCTTCAATATGTCTCGGTGAATTCACTTGCTTCTTTAGAACTAGTTACATATTACATGAAAAGCGCATGATTCCAAACGCATCACTGAAAATGATAGAGCAAAATTTTTAGGAGGGTAATGAAAGGCAACTAATGGCTCTAATTTCGAGCGCATGTCATACTGAGGCAACACACATTCGCCACAGCTGCCTTTTGAAATTGTCTACAAAGTGGGACCGGAAGGTAATAATAACATGAGGTTTGATATTAGTGTATGCTGAAAAAGCTGGTAGTTCGCCAGTGTAACCTCGGAAGCTGTGTACAGCAACCCTGAATTGGTCTCTCAGTCTTTTATGGTTTTAAAATTTTTCCTAATAGTCAACACTGTTTCTGAATATTTCCTTAATCTCTTCACACTTCACAGGGGTACACTCGATTTTCTCAATTCACATAGATTGGGAACCTCGTCTAGACTACTAGCTTGCTAGTTTTCTAGCCGGTCTCAAGCCCGGCTACAGAGGGAGGGTTGGGGCATAGTGCTAGCAACTCCACCCCGAAAACTCAACCAAACCGCTACAGAAACTTCGATGCACAGATATAATAAAAATTCTAAAAAGTTTAACAGTAACCTTATTTTTCTCTAGGATCGGGGAATTGAAATGACGCAGGCTGGTGAAAGCCTTCGGGAAGCCAGTCAACCGAAGTGCCTTCTTTCGATGAAAGCAAAAATAAGGTGGGGACATGGAATGTTCGTACAATGTATGAAACTGGAAAGGCTGCCCAGGTGGCAGCAGAAATGAGGAGATATAGACCACAAGTATTGGGAATCTGCGAGAGCAGATGGAACGGATGTGGTAGGTGCCAACTACCAATTGGGGAGACAGTAATCTATTCCGGCCACCCAGAGGACAACCACAAGTTTCAATGTAGTTGAAGATTGAACGATCAATTCATGGTTGTTTGCTCAAACCCAACTTCCCAATATCTTCGCGGAGGCATCAATACACCAGTCATCGTCTCATCGATCGCTGTTCAGAAGGCACGTACAAAACCGTCAGAAGTAATATTGTGATTTATTATTGTAATATTTGTTCATAGACCTGCGTTGTGAAGTTGGCTATATGTCGGTGTTAGAATAAAGAATTCTCGAGTATCCAGCCTGTGTTCTGGTTTTAGCGTTCGTTCGTACTAAGCGTTTCTGAAAGGCTTCGAGGAACAGCGTGAGGCACAGTGTAGCAAGAGCTGGGCATTAACGGTTTTGGGATGTGATTGACAACGAGCACACCTAGGGGTGGCCATCATGATATCACCAACAGCAGCCAAAGCTCTCATGCAGTGGGAACCAATCTTCTACAGGATAATGACAGCCAGAATAAACTCAAAAGGAAGGAAAGTTACAGTCATTCAATGCTATGCGCCTACAAACGTCTCAGAACAAGAGAAGAAGCAGGCGTTCTACAGACAACTACAGGCAATAATGGACGACGTCCAAAATGGCGATATCAAAATCCTGATGGGTGATATGAATGCGAAGCTGGGAGGAGACAACACAGGAAGAGAGCTCACCATGGGTCGTGAGGCCCTCGGTGATATAAACGGCAGACTTCTGCGCCTTCAATGATTTGGTGATTGGTGGCAGTGTATTCAAACACAAGGATATACACAAGGCGACATGGGTTTCACCAGATGGGCACACCAGAAACCAGATAGACTTCATTTCAATCTCAAGGAAGTGGAGGCGGAGCCTGCTGGATACAAGGTCAAGGAGAGGAGCAGATGTGGGTTCAGACCACTATCTAGTAGAAGGGACTTTCAAGGTGAAGCTAAAAGCCTCGAGGATAGCTGGGGATAGGCCACAATGCAAGTTCAACACTCAATTACTGGAAGACACAACCAGAGAGGACACTTTCACTGTAACTGTCAGAGCAAAGCAGGAAACACTACGTGACATCACTGAAGAATCATGCGTGGAAGACCACTGGAACTCTCTGAAGGTGACTTTCAACGAAACGTGTTCAACGGTTCTAGGTAGAAAGAAGAGACAAGACAAGGAATGGCTCTCAACGGACACTTGGAAATTAATAGAAGAGAGGAGAATGGTGAAAGAGAAAATGATTCAATGCAAGGACGGACAAGAGAAGGAGACGCTAAGCTCAACTTACACAGCACTGGACAAAGAAGTGAAGAAGAGTGCTCGGAAGGACAAAAGACAATTCTACGACAACCTGGCCGCTGAAGCTGAGAAGGCATCAGGTAAAAGGGACCTGAGGACACTATATCAGATGACCAAATCTCTATCCTGGAAGAGATCAACACAAGCGAAACCTATAAAAGACAGCCAAGGGAACCCAATTACCAAGGTAGAAAGACAGATTGGACAATGGGCAGATCACTTCAAAGGACTTTTGAATCGACCATCACCTGCAACCCGTCCAGAAATATCAACAACAGCACGTACACAACTGCAAGTTGACACCAATCCTACAACGAGAGCTGAAGTCTTGAACGCAATCAAGCTTCTGAAAGCTGAAAAAGCAGCTGGACCAGATAGAATACCTCCTGAAGCACTGAAAGCGGACCCAGAGACGACCACAGATATTCTGACTCCATTATTGCAAAAGGTCTGGAAGGAGGGAAAGGTGCCTACTGACTGGAGGAAAGGTTACCTCGTGAAACTACCAAAGGAGGGTGACTTACGCCTCACTCCACAAGAACTGGCGAGGAATCATGCTCCTGTCGACGCCAAGTAAAATCCTGAGTCGCATCATCCTGGAGAGATTAAAGGACGCACTGGATACAGAACTCCGACCAGAACAAGCTGGATTCAGGAAAGGTAAATCATGTCCTGATCAAATTGCAACTCTACGCATCATCATCACAGAACAAAGCATGGAATGGCAATCAAACCTCTACCTCAACTTTATAGACTTCGAGAAGGCCGTCGACAGCGTTGATCGTGAAGTAATTTGGAAACTACTCGAGTACTATGGCGTACCCCAAATATTCATCAACCTTATTCAACAGCTGTGCAACGACGCCACATGTCAAGTGATCCACAACGGAAAACTCAGTGAGGCGTTTGCAGCAAACACAGTAGTCAAACAAGGGTGCTGGCTTATTATCACCAATGATATTCCTAAATGTGGTGAACTGACTGGATTATGCGTCAGACAGTGGGAAACGAGAAGACAGGGAAAGGGAAGCGGCGAGTGGGACGTCAGTGCAAGGGGGACATGGAGGAGATCGTGTGAAGAGGAGTTGAAGCAGTATGAACTAACAGGTGAAAAGTACAGCGAAAGACAGAAGCAAGTAGAGACGTGAAGTTGAAGCCCAATGTTCCTCTAGGAACCCAAGAGAACAATAGTAAATGATAATAATACCATAGATTGGGGATTTTCACCCCACCCAACTATGGTTGTGCCGGTCACAGTTAAGTAATATTTTATTCTAAGAACAAATTTTAAGTATTTGTGTCAATTACGTCACCCGTACAAATTCATAACGGGCTACTACATGGACTCAGCTGATGCAAATGCGACTGAACCACTTCCAAAAATGATTTTGTTGATAAAAATGTTTCTTTCGCAGTCGATACGTTCAGCCCGGCAAATAACCTTACAGCAACAAATATTTCGTATACGAAGCTTTTTCCAACTTTTAATCCGACTTCATCAGATGGTCGTATTAGCTGATTGCATCCTGAACTCATGGTGAATATTCTTTATTTCCATTCTAAACTGTTAGGAATTCATATTACTGTTAAGGCCAAATTTCAAAATGCACCCTTGAAGTTATATGATGAAATAATAGAACTTTCTGGTTTATCAGTTATGTGAAGCAATACCAGACAGTTGGTACAGGACGAAATTGAAAAGTATAGTACGCGTAAACACCATAAGAGCGGTCCGGTAGATTATGACGCTACTTTGCCTTTAATACTCCCTTGCGGTAAGGATTGATGTCGTTGGGAATGGGACCTGTGATTGTGAATTTTAGTTAACGCATCTCATAAGAAGATGAAATACAAGCTAGCGGCTGAGTTATATATTTTTAAGCGTTATTTTATATCAAGATGTATAATGGCTAATAATAAAATGTTCTGAGTGTCTCCTATTCTGTGATTATAGATTTTTTCCCCACTTGAGATTTGATTCAAACGTTTTGTGATCAGTGATGCACGGTGGAGTAGCTTGACCTAGGGATTTATTTTCTGTTGAAAAATAATCCGAGTCCTCACTTTGTCGTTGAAGTTCCGTTTAGCACGACTAGGTAGTTCCTCTGCTCAAGGTGTACCATGATGGTTATTGAGCGTTCGAATTAGTGTCACAAAGAAGCTCATCGAAGAATACATATCTTTGTGGTTAGTTCCTCATTTAAGACCTTTTTAAAAAAACCTTTTCAGCTTATTGTTACAGTCATGTGGCGATGTATTAGCGAATTAAATTTGAGAATTTTCGGCCTCTGTACGATTGAAAGTGACTGATAACTTCATATTCGGGTAATTTTAAAGTTTAACTCGAGGCCACTGAATAACCCAGCTAGCATTTTTTTCGGGCGCATTGCAGACTTTTTGGGGCAAAACCTTCGGGTAGATCTGCTTACGTGGGACAGTGTCCCGAAGTCTGCCCCGAAAGGTCTGCAAGCTGCCCTAAGTCTATCCCCTAAAAGTCTGTAATTTGCCCTAAGTCTGCAATGCGCCCGAAAAAAATGCTGTCTGGGAAGTTGATAGCTAATTAGAACAGATAGTTATATTATTTGAAAATGGGAAGATTCAACGGCACTTGTATTATATACTCCGGGGTAAATAAAAACATCTTGAATAAACTCGGTAGGTGATAATTCCAGCGAAAGGGATAAATTATAAATTCGTACGAACGGACTGATATGATAGAAAGGTGTTGTACGGAATTGTTTGAACACAGATTTTGCTTATACACACGAATTTCGATCATCTGTGCTGTATGTAAAAATAGCACTCACAGACCTTGAGGAAAGTTAAATGAGAGGAGATAATTAATTTTAAGAGCTGTGTAAGTGTTTGGGGGTGACGTTAAGTTACGACAGCCATATCGACTGACCTTACAACTAACCTTGAGAAACTGTGCACTCAGTCGCACACGATATGTAGCTAGCTTCATAGGAACAGTTAAATTAGTAAATTCACGTGAAAAAGGAGAATTTGGCAGTTTGTCTCTGTTTATCATGAATTAATTATTCGTTATCTAAATAAAGAATTTAATCTAGTCGACGTCATTTTAGAACAACATATTTAAGCGAACATTAGTTTTTTCAATTAGATCTTATCAGGCTTAACTCTAATATACATAACTTTACGTATAAAATTCAGATATAAACCAATCATGGTGAATATAAATTGTGCAATTAGTCATAATAGTAATAATAATAGTAGTTTTATCAATAATAAGGATGAAAAAGTGAGGCAGTCTGTGATAACACGAATAACGAAAAACAGCATGATTAAAGAAACAAATGTTCAGGGAGAAGCAGTTGATAAAGGCTAAGAAAAACAAATGAGCCGATTAAGGAATGCTAGATTGCAAGGGAAGTAAATGAAACACGTTTTTAATGAAGATGTGATAACATTAAGGGATGATAAAAGAGGGGATGAAAATATAAGCAAGGGGTGGTGTAGAAGTCATCAGTTGATTGTGTCTTTATAGGCCAAGAGAGGGATATTGGCTTTACGAACTTCTTTTGAATGCATAGTTTAGGTTCAATAGTTCAAATGCTTATCACTTCAGCTGTGTGCAGTAGACAAATACGAAGTCTGTTAGAAACATTCGGTGAATTTCTTTGAAAGCTCTCGTTTTCTCCACTACATGACCACTATCAACTAAATATGACAAAATTGAGCTATGGATTGTTTTTGGGTCCTTGCCAAACCACGGCGGGAGATGTTCAATAACCCTTTGCCTAAGCTGTTTAGTAGTACGCCCAATATAACTGTCACCGCAGATGCAGTTGAATTGATAAGTGCACATATATGTGACGAAACTATCTAGTTTGTCCTTCGTTTGCGTCCCAATCATTTGTCGGCTAGAGAATGACAAACATAGGTATGCTGCGTAAAACAATATTGTTCACCTACACGCCATTTTAGCCTAACTTCTTTAAAAGTTGTGTAGGCTGCCCTCATGGGTTGTGATACAATCTCCATTGAACCTCAGTCGTAGGAACACATTTTTTTCGGAACAGTAAGCTATCTGGATTCTATGCCTGCTGAATCCATGTCTTCATTTAAAAATCCTGTAGTATATCTGTTTCGACCTAACAGATCACAAATATTACCGGGTTCTTCGGCCAAACTGATAATTCTTGCACAGTGAACTAATCATCTAACCAGATTTGCTTGCATTGTTGATGGATTCTCGATGTGTACATGTACTGATTATTCCACGTGCTTGTTTTGCTATTAGAAAAGTGCCAGACGAGATGGAGCCTTATCATTCCTTTCTCGTAAAACTTGCAGTTGGATGAATTTCGCTAAATTTCCACAGTAAACGCTTCTCTCCAATTTCCTTAAAATTACCATCCACATAACGGTAATAGAAATCCATGTCATTTATAATACTTTCTGAGGGCCTTTCTCTAGTAAAATGTCAGATGGGATCGAAACCATTTGCGGTCCCTATACAACATCTACTGTCAATATATCTTTTTTTACTGAGTAGAAAAGGTGCTTTTAGAGTACATTTAAAAAAAGCTGCTTCAATGACGACAAGAATATTTGTCTCTATACCTTCTGTCAATTCATTAAATTTTTAATCTGCTGTCTCCATCATAGGCACCTTGGTAAATAAAGAAGTTACATTCAGAGGTATGAACCTATAAATCACCTTAAAGTCTCTTTATTTGTTCGACATAGTTTAAATCCCATCACAACGGGGTTCCTACGTCTTACTACTCTTTCAACTTTTGTCAATGCATGTGGGGTAGCTTTTGGGCAAGGACTACCTTAAGAGTGCGATTTAATCTAGTCTCACGTGAGGTGCATATAAAGTAGTAGGTGACAGTCATCACTTAAATAAGTTTCATAATGTGTTCATTGTTTTCCCTGATTTGTAATTTTATTTTTGTTATTAACCAACGGATATCAACAATTCACCCTGAGAGGCGTTTCCATGACCTTTGAGATCACTGTATAACTGTTCAGCTTTGGATTGATGTTCGAAAAAGAGTATTCTTCGCTAATATGTCTTCTAATTTATATCGCATGTTTATTTTCCATACTTTAATGAACTTGTTATTGCTCAGTGTTGACGCTCTATTATTATTATTCCCTTTGGTTCCGATCAGAACATAGGGCTTCAACAACACATCACTTTGTTCTGTTTTCTGCCATCCTCTTCAGCTTGGGCCACGATCTCCTCCATATCACCCTGGGACGACCCACTAGTCTCTTCCCCCTGGGATTCCACTCGAGGGCCTGGCGCGGTGTCATTCGGTGGCCTATTCAATGTATGGCCGATCCATCTTCATTTTCTCCTACATATTTGTTGAGCTATCGGCTCTTGGTTAGTTTGTTCCCACAATTTCTTGTAACATATTCTTTCTGACCATTTGATCTTAAGTATGGAGCAAAGGCAACTGTTGATGAAGCTCTGCAACCTGTTCGAAATCCTCTTCGTGACACATTGGCCAAGTTTCTCACCCCTATAGAAGGACAGACTTGACATTGGTATTGAAAATCCGAATCTTGTTCTTTATGGTGGCTGATTGAAGCAGAAGATTCCCAAACTGGTTTCAGGTTGCGGAAGGCATGTCTTGTCTTTCTGATTCTGACTGGCTTTGACATCTTCATCCGTCCCAGCTGCCTGTGGTTGAAACGATGCTTCCTAGGTAAGTGAAGGAAGTAACCTCTGTCAAATATCTCCCGTTGATGGTGATTGGTGCTGGTTGTTGTTGTTGCGGTTCTTTGGTTATCTTCATCGCCTCCGTCTTCTCCTTTTCACTTGACATTCTGTCTTCACTGCCTGCTTCTGCCAACTTGTTGGTTTTCGCCTGTAATTCTTCGAATTTATATGACATTACACATATGTAGTCCACGAAATCCAGATCTTTTAGAGTTTTCTTGTCGGTGGCCCAGCGTATTCCTCTCTTCTCACTCCCAACCCACAGTCTGACGCATAATCTAGTCCATCACAATTAGGAATATCATCGTGGATGATAATAGGCAGTCAGCTTCTCTTACTCCTGTGTTCACCTCGAACGCCTCGCTGAGTTTTCGGTTGTGGATCACCTGACATGTAGCACTGTCATATAGCCAGCTGTTGAATAAGGTTGATAAAGTCTTGGTCACTGAACGCCGTAGTGTGGGAGTAGTTTCCAAACTACTCGGTGAACGCTGTGTGTTGAGGGCTTTTTCGAAGTTGATGAAGTTGAGATACAGATTTGACAGCAATTCTATGCTTTGTTTTACGATGATGCGTAGAGTTGATCAGCATACGATTTGTCTTTCCTGAATCCAGCTGGTTCTGATGGGCCTGGCGGAGTTCTGTATCGAGTGTACATTTCATTCTTCCCAGGATGATGTGACTTAGTATTTTACCTGGCGTGGCCAAAGCATTATTCTACGTGAGTCTATGCTGATGCCCGGGTCTCCCTACTTAGGCAGCTTGACAAGGTAGCCAGCCTTTCCTCCAATCAGTAAGTACTTTTCCTTCCTTCTAAACGATTTGCAGTAATAGAGTGAGAACATCTGCCGTAAGCTCTTGGGCCATCTTCAGTGCTTCTGGAGGAATGCCGTCTTGTCCTACTGCCTTCCCGGACTTCAGTAGCTTACTCGCACTCAGGATTTTTTCTTTCGTCGGAGGAGTGGAGTTCACTGACAGGCAGTTCTGTGTGTGCTGTTGGTGGTATTTCTGGGCGAGTTGCCGGTGGTGGTCAGTTCAAGCCCATTGTTTTATTCGTTTCTCCTCCTTGGTAATCAGGTCCCCTTGAGCACGTTTTATTGGTTATATCATCTGGGTCGATCTCTTCCAGGATAGAGACCTGGTTATCTGATATAATGTCCTGATGCCTCTTTTGCCTGAGGCCTGCGTGTTCTGTTTCAGTTGCTAGACAGTATGTCGTAGAATCTTCGTCCGTCTCTGCTTCACGTCTTTCTTCATACAGTGCAGTGTACATTGAACTCAGATTCTCCTTGTGTTGTCCATCTTTGCATTGAGTCATCTTCTCTTTCACCATCCTCCTCTCTTCTCTTAGCTTCCAGGCATCCGCTCACAGCCATTAATTGTCTGGTCTCTTCCCTCTTCCTAGAACAGTGCATACTTTTCCTTAAATATCGCTTATAGAGAGTTCCAGTGTTCTTCCACACAGGTTTCCTCAGTGATGTCACGTAGCGTGTCCGACTTTGCTCTGATCTCATCTGCAGTGAAGGCATCCATTGTAGCTTCGTTCTTCAGTTTCTGAATGTTGAGCTTAAATTGTAGTCTGTATCCATTTGTTTTCATGGATTTCAGCTCCAACTTAGAGGTACCTTGAACTAGATGATAGTCTGAGTCCGCCCACATCTGCTCCCCTTCTCGACTTTGTGTCCAGCACATCGGCTGCGTCTCCACTTCCTTGAGATTAAGATGAAATCCATTTCGTTTGTGGTGTGTCCGTCGGGCCAAATTTGTGTTTTGTGTATATCCTTGTGTTAGTACACGCTCCCTCCGGTCACCAAATTGTTGTAAGGGGAGAAGTTTGGAAAGAGTTCTCCTCGACCCATAATGAGTTCTCTTCCTGTATTATCTGCTCCCCGTTCGGCTGGCATTCATATCGCCCATGGGGATTTTTATGTTGCCATTCTAAGTGTCGTCCATTACTCTTTGTAGTTGTCTGTAAAAATCCCCTTTTCTTGTTCTGCGTTGTTTGTAGGTGCGTAGCATTGGATAACTGTAACCTTCCTTCTTTTGGAGATGAATCTTGCTGTCATGATCCTGGATTAAATTGGTTCCCACTGCATTAGGACTTTGGCTGTCACTGGTGACATCGTGGTAGCCACTGACTGCATCAGTGTGTTCATGGCTGTCGTCTGGGTGATCAGACCGGATTAGATTACTGACCCTCCAGTTGACAATGTCAATCCACATCCATTCCATCTGCTTTCGCAGATACCCAGTGCTTCTAAGCCATATCTTACCATCTCTTTGGCTCCCTAGGCAGCCTTCCCAGTCTGTTACATTGTACGGACATTCCACGTCCCTATTCTTACCCTTGCTTTCGTCGAGAGAAGACACATGGACTGGCAGGCTTCCCGAAGGCTTTCACTAGCCCGCTGTATCATTTTGCCTCTTCGATTGTTATTTGAAGTTATTGTATTTTTAATATATTTTCTGTTTTGAAGTCTCTCTAGCGGTCTGAAAGATTTAGGGGTGTGGGGTTGCTAACCCAACCCCCCTCTTTATCCGGGCTTGAGACCAGCTAGAAAACTAGCGACCTAGTTAACTAGACGAGGTTCAACGTTGACTCTCTAGTGAGTAGGAAACGATAATCCGTAGGATAGATTGTTTCTAGCAAATGTGGGCACACGACTAAAAGCATATCATAGTTGACCTTGTTTTCCATTCTGAAAAGTAAATTACTCGAAATCTTATATCCTTACCATATGACACTTGATGTCTCAATAAATGAAAGTTGATGTGCTCTCGTTTTTAGTCTATGACAATATCATGTTTGTCGTTGAAATTGATAAAGAAATGTCTCGATGAAGATGTTTAAACAATCCTCATTTATTTATCTCGAGTTTCAGCTGAATCGTATAATCGATTTTTCTCCTTTCTTTATTCCCACTTTCTGTTACAAGCAGAGCACGTATGGGGATATAAATATTTCGGGATTCCCAGGGAAAACTGTCGTTGATTTCCATGTTTAACTGTTTAACTTTCAAATGGAAAATCTGATTTGACTTTAGCATTCTTTTGAACTTCATGAAAAAGAATATACTTTAGAAATGATCTGATTCTGAAATCAAAATCAGTTGATGACCGATTACCTTATTGTGACAAATTTAACTCAAATCTTTTTGTTATTTCACTGAAACCATATTTTCTGTTTGAAGGTCACTCGTTCTGCAGCAAGAGGAGTCAAAAAATGGCTCATATGGAACTTATACCTAAATTTCCACTGCTAGTGGCTCTACGTCGCATATCCACTTATGAAAACAGACTTCACAGAACCACACCATTGATACCAGTTGTTTCACGTTGTGCTTCAGTGTTTTCCTCCTTCCGATCAAAGTTCGGACAACAATCAGAAAAGGAAAAGCCTGATGGTTGGTAAGGAAAACTAGAGTTTTTTTATTCAGTAATTATCATGAGTCCATCTAGAAGAGGTTATTATCATTTATTTTTAAGTTCTATTGCAGTTTTAGCCTAATTGTTATGTTACAATGTAGAATTGGAATTTACCGCTTAGTATTTCGAACGTAATGTTAGATAGGTGTTAATCACTGATTATTCCAGTTTATTAGAAGAGAGACAAGTCCTCCTCGGGTAATCATAAGGGGATAACGTTGACTGATATAGTATCCAAACTACCAGGTCCGATATTTATGCGCAGACTGACCAGTACTTAGGAGAAATAAACCCCGGAAAAGACAGTCAGGCTATAGGCGTATTGATCATGTTTTCACCCTTCGACAGATTCTAGAACATGGGCGTACTTACTGGTGTTTAACACTCCCCATATCTTGGTAGAATTTGATTGTATCACCCTACTGTTGCTTTGGGAGTGCTTGTCCGTGAAGAGTCCTGAGAAAGTATATTGAACTAATCAAGGTATTAGCTTTACTCGAACTCGCACAGTCATGTATGAGTTTACGGAAAGTTGTCATCTGAAGTGATGTCAACCATTGGTCATCTTCAGCGATGCGACTGTCTCCAATTTTGTTTAGTTTTTCTTCATGGGCATACCTGATATGTATGGTCGGCCTGCAAAATTTGGGCTACCGATATCCATGCTGAAAATTCCATACTTGTACCAAAAATACAGTGTGGAATCAAGCTGTAAATAAAAAAAAATGTGATTTACTCTAACTGACCTTGGTGACTTCCGGATTGACTTGTTACCACGGTGTATTCTCGTCCATCTAATCAGGGTATGTGGATGATATTTTCCTCGTAGTTGGTGATGAAATGGTCTTCTGAATACCTTGAGGGCTGACAGTAAACGACGTGTTGGTAAATCACTCAAAAGATGTAGCATTATGAGTGAACTAGTATTGGGATACATTTATTCTAATGTATTTGAATAGTCTAGCAAGATGTTGGTTAGTTTCAGTCCACATTGATGAGAAATCTACGAATGATAAACATTCTTTCTACTCCTGTCTGATGTAAGATGATGACATTGAAGATAGTGAAGTGATATAATATGTTGACCATTTGAGTTATTTAAGAAATTGTATCAGCCCTCATTACGGATGTAACAGGCTGGTGTGAGATTTGTCAACCTAGGTCATCGCTGGCGTAGACGTGATATCCGGCTGTCGATCGAAGGATGTGGGTACTGTACAGTAGTTCGCTGTAAGACATAGCAATCTATAGTGGAAGATATGAAAAGACTGTCTGTCTTTGTTTACAGTTGTTTGCATTCTATCTCCTGTATTAAGTGGTGTAATCTGTCTGTCTGTCTGTTTGTTTACGACATAGAACTTTGCACATATGTGCGGCAGTTCAAGTCGCCACACTCCATGTAGCACACAAAGCAAGAGAAGAAAGTAAAAGAAATGCATGATAGAGACAGTAAACAGAAGTGTGAGACAAAAAAAGTGGTGTAATATGGTGAGTAATATCGTAGTTACGCGTAGAGTGTTAGGTAGGTGTAGGATAAGTCAGTCAATGAAGTTGTGGAATTACGTCGGTTGAGAAGGCCATGAGACGTCTCGCGCATTTGGAGCGACTAATCGCCTTGAATACCAATGTTAACCGACACAATTAGGTCTGCAAACAGTTAGGAGTGGTACACCAAAACCTGGTCGCAATGTATGAATTTTCACTGTTGGTTCGAGCCTCTCGGGGAGGTGTAAACTACCTAGTTCTATCTTCGGGTTGCTAAGAACGAGTGGCTTGACACTGTTAGCGATGTGGCTCAAAATCGTTCTCAATGTCTCGGATGCACTCACTCTTTGTGATCTCCCAAGTCTGTTAATTTTTTGTGTTTCTCCCACTCGTCTCTGGTTATTATGGTTGTTTTAAGTCTGTTTTCTTTCTTTTCTCTATTTTGTGTATTGCACAAAGTGTGACAACTTGAACTGCTTCACTCCTGTGCACAGGTGTGTGTTAGAACTCAGTTTGTCAACCAGTCAAACATCTACCTAATAATCCATGCGATGTATCATATTGTGTAACCATTAGATCAAATGTAAATATTTTCTCAATCAAGAAATTAAGGCCATCAATAAACAGGATTTAATTCTGAAATTACGACATGATGAATATTCAGATATGTACTGAGACCACGTACTACATTTTGAAATGAAGTGGACATTGTCACGACAAGTACTAATAAACTAAATCATAAAAGTATGAGCTATATGTGGTGAAATAAGAGACTCCGTTTCTTTTTCTCAACTGTGCTGTAGTTCGGGCTACTGAGACTTTTATGAGGCCTGTGGAGTAAAATAAGGCTATTCAACCAGGCTGCATGGGTCGATTGTAGAGTCGGACATGCTGGTCACACTAGTCAGTAAACGTCACTTCAACGATGTAAATCACTCTGTATGAAATCTAATTTATAATCATATTTGCTACTGAGCTAACTCGTCTCATGGATTATTTAATAACTATCACTGTCTATTGGGAGTTTTGTAAAATTCTACTATTAATACAGAAGAAAGATCAAAACTTCGAAAGAAGAGGCGTGAAGTTTGCGATACAATTATACTCAGTAAATAGTCTTGTGTTATTCGGAAAATGATACTCTTTTCAACTGTATACCATGAGAATAAAACAAAATATAGCAGAATTACTCTTTGCTATAAAAACTTTAAAGTTAGTAGTTTTTGCTTTGTTTAACCCAATTATTTTCCCACTAAATTTTCCCTTGAATGTGGCCAAATCTTCATGTTCGGCTTTATACAGTAGACCATGCAGTTTTTTTGTCATTACTCATTTATTGATCATAATCATATCAAGTTATACGAGTGCCTCGATGTGATTATGAGCAATAAGTTGTTCCTGAAACATTGTGAGTAAATAATACCGTATCAATGATTTCTATCGAATAAAATTATTGTATAGTGAAATTACACTACCGCAATGGCCATTTTCTATCCTTATACGTGGATCCTGTCTACATGTTTGTCAAACACAGCATGTATTCGCGGTCTTGGATTCCAAAATTTCGCCTAGTGAAGCTTGTTAATGGATTTAACAAATAACTTGGGTGCTGGATGCTCCCACACACAGTTAGCAGCCTTTTTTGAGGAGATCAGGTCTATTGTTCTCCTAAGTAAAATTGTGTTCATTGGTTACTAACGAGAGAATTGGAAGTAACGTGAGTTTTTCAACAAAGAAAGGAAAAGAAAGTTTGAAGCATAAGGCGAAAGGCGACTGATGGCTATATGAGACTTGACTGACAACTGAGATTAACATTTCCTAGTCACTCACATCGTGGAAGATGGTGACATTTTGCCGCATCTGAAAAAGAAGACGAATTAATTTTTGACTACACAGCCTCCTGGATTTGTGTGTGGGGTCAGCCACGTAAGAATCATTTCCAGATTTTAGAATTAGTATTATTTTCGCATACAGAAACTCTTTGTCCAATACCGACTATCCTAGGTTAGATTAAAGGAAAATATTTTTGAAGTCAAAATTTTGTGTGGTACCGTCTCTTTTAAAGTTGCTTATCTGATTTAATAATTGTCCCAAGGGTAGGCTCCATAGCCAGGTGTATAAATACACTTACAAACCCTCATATACAAGCACTTTTCAGTCTTAGGTAAATTGCCCATGTTGCTATAAGATTTCAAACAGAATGTGCTAGGTAGCGCCTATCCCTGAGTCTTTGGAATATTCAAGATATATATGCTCATCAAGCGAACAGTGAAAAATCCTTGGTCTCCCCAGGTTTTGTTTTTTAAAACGTTTCTTCGTTCACAGACTTTCATAACTTCTTTTTCTAAAAATGTTTGTAGTGAATGGGTAGACGCAGTTCAAGAAATCGAGAAATCAGAGGTGTTAAAGTTAAAACGATCTGACGTCAGTATGGGCAGAACAGAACTTCGGGAGTGGAAAAAACGAGCATTTTTGGTAAGCATTACCTAGCGATTTCTGTAATTATTATTAACCACAATGAAAAAGGTTTGATTGAAGCCGAGATTACTGCAAGGCTTAAGTCAACCCTTCAAGCTATTTTGTGTTATGTCATTTATATATATATATATATATATATATATATATATATATATATATATATATATCCCTATATCTACGCTTTTATATACTGGTTTAGCTTTCCTATCCTGGTGATTCAGCGAGCTTCAACGATCTTATATATGTTCCTGAAGGTCCTACCATGCCAGAAATGTTTAGATTTTGGTTGCACTAAAGTCAGTTACCATCATAGTATGATTTGTTTAAATTGTTAGGGGGTCTGAGGACAAAGTTGTACTGCCGGCGAATAGTGATGTAACGTCGGTGTGCTGCTGTCCAATGTCCAGTGAGCCAGATATTATGCTCTTTCGCACTGGCGGGAGGGAATTAATAATCAGAAATTTGTCTGAGAGATTGTTCACCAGATAGATCTTACCCTACAACAGTACATACGCGGGCGTAATCTCCTTCTTAAGAAAACGACTCCAAAAACAAATTGATAAGCCGTGTTTGATTTGTCTCCGGCGCTTTTCCTTCGGGTTCTAGAGGCAGATAGGTTATTCACCTTCTCTTAGCACCGTATATATTGTCCACAACTTTAACCGGAAAAACAGCTTCGCCAATTTCGTAAAACTACTCTGTGAACTTTTCGTTTGGCTTACAACGCCTGCACCCTATTCGAAATCATATAAGCCTCAACAGACCTCTGTAACCAAAACTCTTGTCATCATCGTTTTAAAATTTGTGCTGTGTCTTTGAGGCACCATATTTTTTATATTTTTGATTATAGCTTGATTCTACACAGTATTTTTCGTTACTACTATAGAATTTTCAGCATGTGATATCGGTAGCCCAAATTTAGCAGACTGACAATTGATATTAGGTATGCGTCGGTTGGGGATCGAACCTCGAGCCATGTGCATGGTCAGTGAGTGTACTAACCGCTGTGCCACAGGGAATCTACAAAATCCAACCTACAAGTGTCTGATGATTCTTCAGCTATTTTGCGTAAAATTTTCAGTGTAGGAATAGCATTGAGCGCTATGGCTGAAAACTTGCAATATGGCTATTGATTATGATGCTGGGCTTGAAGCTTTAGGTAAAGAAGTAAGTCCAATAGAAGAATTTGTGAGGCTGCACATACTGGACTGGCCAGGTTTTATGATTGCCAAATATTGACGCCATACCACTTAACGCTAATGCCCAGCTACCAATTTCCTCGCTACAATTAATAAATCAGAAAATTCCTTTAGTGAATTTCGAATGTGTATTCCAAACGGGTGGTCTAAAGATAGGTATATAATAGCAATAATAATAATGATTCAAATAGCATCATGGAAACTGGTCGTGTAGTAACATGGATCGAACAGTGAATGTGTATCAATATAATCGAATATAATTTGTCGTGCTTATGGTTAACAGAAGGATGCTTATTTGATATAGGACAAATTAAGAGAGTAATAATAACTGGATGATATGATTATGAGCAATAAATTGTACTCGAAACATCTCCGGTTACTCATACTGTAATACTGTGTACCACATCGAAGTAACCTATCTAGTATGGAATTATATTCTTCCACAGTTTCGAAACTCTGCTCTTACATCATTAACAAATGAATGGGCAATATGTGTACTATTTGAATCCTGATTAGTGGACTGTCGAGCTGGGTTACAGTAGTACATAGTAGGGCTAAGTTGAAGTTTAACCAGAGGTGATCAGAATAAAATATGGCACCAATTGTTAAAGCTATTTAGGACGGTCCGATTGCATGGCTAAGACCTTCGCGATGCTATGAATCAGTTTTTCGAGACTTTTAATGTCATGTAATTTCGTTGATAGTGACACAAATGTATTAAATCCCTGTCATCGTCCGGTTTCATTAAATCTTCAGCATTCTTTGTGTCATCGTTCTTTTTTCTACCCATTTCAGTTTATCATATTTTCTTGACATTTCGTTTTTTCACCACCTGTATATGTGTATTATGAAATGTGACAACTTGAACTACCACACTTTTATATAAAGATTTACGTTAATAAGTGAGTGGGTCAGTCAATTCACTTGTTTGTTGTACTTTTTGAAGTGGTGAAAATATTATATAGCCTAGTTTGCAATCTTAACATACTGTTATGTGTTTTCCGAGGTACACTTTTGATACCCATGTTTTCACAGGTCTACGTTGGAGTGAATAATAAGTGAATAAAATAACAGTTTCACGCGATAACCCATGTCGTGAAACCCAGTGATTTTAATTCTGTCCAATGTTTTCGTTGAAGCCAGTGAGGTGCTAGTTTGTGGTTCAGATCTTAAAAGTTATTTAGCTTTGATGATTTATTGGTAAATCTAAGTAGAATACGAACTTGACAGTGTACAAAATAATAATACGAAATACAAAATAATATTTTTGTTACAGCATATTTTGGAAGTGTTTATCCAACGGTCGGGACCCACAAGAAAAGGTTTCAGTGCATTTATTCAACAGGCACTGGCTAAAATGCCTGAATATGAAGTAGCTGATGATTTAGAGTGTTATAAAGCTGTTATCCGAATATTTCCTACTGGGCGTATGACTGTCACACGTTATCTTCAAGCTGAGTTTGGCCACTATCCAAGACAACAGCAAAGAATGATTGATGTACTAAATCAAATGACAGATAATCGTAAGTTGAAAATATTCCAATGTTATGCGTTAAATTACTTTTTGTTTCCTGTATAGTTTCTTTTCTTTTCTTCCTTGGTTTATCAAATAGTTTACAGACACTTCTTATATTGTAACACTTGTTAATTGATATAAAGATTTAGATGTTTCAACAACTTTTACGACAATCATAAAATGTTATTTAATTATTCAACTATATGCCGTCTCCTCCTCAATTATTATTATTATTATTATTGTATCCTTTAGTTCCTAGAGGAACATAGGGCTTCAGCTGCGCACCTCCATTGACTTCGGTTTTCTGACAACTTTTTCACCCTGCTCCAGGTCTGTCCACATGCTTTCATCTCCTCCTCGCATGACCTCCTCCAAGTCACCCTTGGACGACCAACTCGCCGCCTCCCTTTCGGGTTCCACTCGAGGGCTTGTCTAGTGATGTCACTTGATGGTTTCCTCAGCGTATGGCCAATCCATCTCCATTTCTTTCTGCCTATTTGTTTCACAATCGGTTCCTGATTGGTTCGCTCCCAGAGATCCCTGTTGCTGATCTTTTCTGGCCATCTGATCTTGAGTATTGAGCGGAGACAGTTGTTAATGAAGGTTTGAAGTTTGTTTGAGATGCTCTTTATGACTCGCCAAGTCTCTGATCCGTATAGTAGCACTGACTTCACATTGGAGTTGAAAATCCGGATCTTATTTTTGATGCTGATTGCTGTTGACCTCCACACAGATTTGAGAGTAATGAAAGCTTGTCTTGCTTTTCCGATTCTGGCTTTGATGTCCTCGTCAGTTCCGCCTGTAGTTGAGACGATGCTTCCCAGGTAGGTGAAGGAGGTTGTTTCTTTCAGGTTCTTCCCATTTATGCTTATTGTGGTCTGTTGTTGTTGTTGATGTTGGCTAGGAATCTTCATCATCTCTGTTTTATCTATGTTCACGTGAAGTCCTATCTTTGATGCTTCTTCTGCCAACTTGTTACTTTTCACTTGCATATCTTCCAGTTTATGGGAAATCAGACATATATCATCGGCGAAATCCAGATCCTCCAAGTCTTTTGTGTCAGTCCATTTTATGCCTGTTCCCTCGTTGGTTGCCGTTGTCTGTCGCATTATCCAATCAATTGCAATCAGGAAGATCATTGGTGATAGTAGACAGCCTTGCCTCACTCCCGTCCTCACTTCGAAGGCTTCCGTAAGTTTCCCGTTGTGGATTACTTGGCATGCAGCATTGTCGTATAACTGTTGGATGAGGTGTATAATTGTCGATGGGACCCCGTAGTAGCGAAGTAGTTTCCAAATGACCTCTCGATCGACGCTGTCGAAGGCCTTTTCAAAGTCGATGAAGTTGAGATAGAGAGGTGACTGCCATTCCAAGCTTTGTTCAATGATGATCCGTAGAGTGGCGATTTGATCAATACATGATTTGTTTCTCCTGAATCCAGCCTGTTCCGGACGAAGTTTTTCATCTAGGGCTTGTTTGATTCTCTCCAGGATGATGCGACTTAGTATCTTGCTTGGAATGGACAGAAGCATAATTCCACGCCAGTTTTTACATTGACTTAAGTCTCCTTTCTTTGGAAGTTTGAATAAGTAACTGTTCTTCCAATCCTCGGGTACTTTGCCCTCTTTCCACACCTTCTCCAGTAGTGGTGTCATCAAGTCCGCTGTTGTCTCTGGGTCTATTTTCAAAGCCTCTGCTGGGATTCCATCTGGTCCCGGTGTTTTCCCAGTTTTAAGCATCTTGATTGCATTCAGGACTTCTGATTTCGTCGGGGGGTCAGTGTTCACTGGTAGTTCTGCTTCCGTTGTTGGTATTGCTGGACGTGTTGTAGGTGGCGGACGATTTAGAAGTCTTTTGAAGTGTTCAACCCAGTGCTTTCTCTGTTCCACCTCTTTGGTGATTGACTTTCCATTGTCGTCCTTTATTGGCTTAATCTGTGTCGAACGTTTGCCCGAAAGGTTCCTAGTTGTTTGGTAGAGTGTGGCGAGGTCTCCTTTGCCTGCAGCTTGTTCTGCTTCGTTTGCCATGGTTTCATAATATTTTCTTTTGTCTTCCCTGGCACTTTTCTTCACTCTTTTGTTCAGTGTATTGTAGCTTGCATTCAGCTCCTGTTTTTGTTGCTCGTCGTGCACTGGATAATCTTTTGCTTCACTGTCCTTCTCTCTTCTATTAGTTTCCAAGTGTCCGTAGTGAGCCACTGTTTGTCCTGTCTCTTTTTTCTGCCTAGAATTTCTATGCAGGTTTGGCTCCACACCGTTTTCAAGTTGTTCCAGTGCTTTTCAACGCCGACCTCTTCGCTAGTGTTGATTTGTGTCTCGGCTTTGTCCTTTATGCTTGCAATGAAGATGTCCTTTGTAGCCTGGTCCTTCAGCTTTTGAGTGTTGAACTTGGCTTGTGGTCTATCTGCAGCTCCTGATTCCCTGAAAGCTTTTAATTTGATTTGGATTGTCCCTTGTACGAGATAGTGGTCTGAGCCAACGTCTGCTCCTCTTCTTGCTTTTGTGTCCAGTAGGCTGCGCCTCCACTTCCTTGAGATTGAGATGAAGTCGATTTGGTTTTTGGTTTGCCCGTCTGGTGACACCCATGTAGCCTTGTGGATATCTTTGTGCTTGTATACACTGCCACCAATCACCAGTTCGTTGAAGGCGCAGAAGTCGGCGAAGAGTTCTCCGTTTTCATTCATTTCTCCTAGAGCTTCTCTACCCATGATGAGTTCCCTTCCCGTATTGTCTGGTCCCAGTTTGGCGTTCATGTCTCCCATTAGTATTTTCATGTCGCCAGCTGGAGTATTGTCCATTGTTGCCTGTAGTTGCCTGTAGAATTCTTCTTTCTTCTCGAGGTCTGCGTTGTTTGTGGGTGCATAACATTGTATGATTGACACTTTCCTTCCTTTGGAGTTGAACCTGGCGGTCATTATCCTGGACGAAATCGCCTCCCATTGTATCAGGGCTTTCGTTGCCGTTGGTGACATCATGATAGCCACGCCCTCGGTGTGCGTGTGGTTATCTTCTGGGTGACCGGAGTAGATCACTGACTCACCTGTTGACAATTTGGTGAGTCCACTCCCATTCCATCTGCTCTCACATATTCCCAGCACTTGTATTCCGTATCTTTTCATCTCGTTGGCGATCTGGGCAGCTTTCCAGTCTCGTACATAGTTCGGACGTTCCATGTTCCTACACAGACTTTTTCTTTTGGTGCAAGGAGGTTCACATACTGAAGTTCTGTAGCAATTTTTGTTTACAGGGTGGGGTTGCTAGCCTCACGCCTGAGAAAAGAATGATTACATTAAGTAAAAGTTTAGAGAGAAGCAACTTTTTGGGTTGCTCCCCTCAAAATCAGAAAATAACGGACAAACAATGAGAACAACATCAACAAAGGAAACAGTTCACAGAAAAAAGGGCAAAAAGCGACGACAACTATACAATAAGACAACATGCAATATAGTTCAGTACATTTAACTAAAATGATATCTTAACCATAAACTCACTGACTTGGAGCAACTTGAACATATAAATCCAACAATATATACAATTATAGATGTGTTTATGTTTAAAAATTCCACAAATCCAAACAGTGAGTTATGTGTATTATCTGTCAATAAGATTGTATTTTTTGGATTCAGTGTTCGAAAGGTTAATAATTGTGATAATTTCCGCAAACACTTTGCATAAAATTTTAGAGTAATAAGAGATTTTATTTATGACCAAAATGTAGCGTAATAGTCGAAAAGCGCGCTCCTCAATTAGTTTCCGTATATTAATACGTGATATTTTCTTCTGCAGTGTCTAATCGACAAATACTGCCTTGAAACGCTTGTCTAGGTTGCAAACCGCAATTCTCCACTAATCTTTACTGGCTGGTTTAAATGTTTTTGCAAATCCTGCGATGCCAAAATAGTCGACTGGATAACTGTTAAACGGAAAGAATTTAACATCATAATGTTAGTTACGTACTCTGTGTTGTGCGCCTGACAACAATGTTCCACTGTTGGTGAATAGTGGTTTAACAGCATTATGATACTTTTTCTTCGAGTAATCAGCAAGTCAACTACTCTGATTTCAAGTTACGAGTAGGAACCGTTAGAAAAGCTCTACCTCCAAAACTCTATATTGTGACTAAAACTAAGGCGACCAGTAGCCGGTGGTGATATAGACGAATCATCACCACTCTACATCCATAATGCACTGTTTGTGACTCCTCATGCAGTTATCGTATGGACTGCGTTTTCCCTTAACATTAATATTTTTTTATCTGTGAAGTACTTTGGAGACAAATCCACCCTGTAATTTGTGCAAATAAAGATTATCGATCATCCATGTGTCTCCATTAGCAAACAAAAAGTTGTTTTCATTATCTTGCTTTACTCTCACTGTTAATACTATTCAGCAGGCAGTTCCGTCACATTGCCTTAACCCTGTTAATAATAATGAGGTTATATGGTGAATACTGGATAAAGGAGGAAGGTCAGTTGATGAGGTTGTAAATGTGCATCGATTGAGATGGGTCGGACATATGTTACACATGGCTGGTCATCGTCCTCCTCAACGACCAATACTAGTTCATATAGGTTTAGTTTGAAAGGAACCAAAACCTGGAATCAATTCATGGAGTCTTTGGCTGTTGATCTTAGTCACATAGAGTTGTGCAGATTGCCTCTCTGAGGTCTTTGGGACTGTAAAACCCATTGATTGGAGTCTGTTGGTGACGTGACTCATAATCGTTCGTAATAGCGCAACAAAACTAATTCAGCAAAGGGAATTTTCTTTGTCGATGAAGTTATCTTCAAAGGCTGTGCAGTCGTATTTATATTCCGTAAAAAGCATAGCAGTATGTTATTGCGTAGCATAAGTGTGCTATAATTAATACAGTTACTCATTGACTTTCAAATGTAGAACAAAAAGTAATAATCACCGACACAGAGGAAGCATATGTTTGAGGTTTGACAATTAGAAAATTCTTGTTAGACGAAAGATAAAGTGATTGGCAAGTGTGAAGAAAATTAACAAGGAAACTGACTGCCTGAGTTGCAGTGTAGAACTTTACACACATCTGCAACAGTTCAATTCGCCAAACTCTGTACAGTACACAAAGGTACAGAAAAAAGAAAAAAAAGATTCAAATGAAGTAAAATGGGCAGAAACTTACAGGGGAGGGAACAATTACATGAGGAAACACGAGGAGTTAAACACGAGGAACTGGTAGATTACGAAGAGTAAATGCATATGAAATAGTGAGAACGACTCTGAGCCATATCACCAACAGTCTCAAGCCATTGAATCTTAGCAACCTGAGGACACAACCGGACGATCTATACGTTCTTATGCAGCCCAAACCAACTATCAAGGACTACATGAATCAGTAAACAGTTTTGGTGTATCACCCCTAACTCTTTTCCAACCTAACTGTAAGTTGGCTAACATGTGTAGCCTGATGGATATTGCTAAGAAGAGGCTGAAACTGAAATCAACATTTCAAGTCAATGACTACAGAGTTGGGAGTGCTTAACCCTCAAATCTGAATTTAGCTCACGTCATGGGCATGAAGTAAACTCACTGGACAACCTGTCTTACCTTGGACCAGTCACCAACCAATCAGAACAATTTGTTGTCATTGACCTAGCAGAATTTTATTATGACTAAGAATGTATAAGTATGATGGGTCTTCCTTATAAACAGCCTGTTACCACATCTCTTATCTTCTCCCTTACAATATTTTTCTTTGAGGAAGACAGTGGATCGCAGTACGTGTCCTAGTTTACACATACTATTCGTATCTTTTGTTGTATTTCTCTTCTACTTGTTCATCGTCGTTTTGTGGTTGATGTCCACCATCTCTAATATCCAACACTTCCTGTTTAGTTGTAACCTGCAGTGAGTGACACGTCAGTTCCATGTTGGTTGTTTTTTTACCACGTTCACTGTTACTAATAATCCATATTACCTAGTCTTGGTTCCACAACTGTCTCAAGCAGCGTCAGTACTTTCGAATCCCCAATGGTCGAAATTTTGTAATATTAATACTACATGGTCCTGTATGAATTGCGGTCACATGCATGTAAATATTACTTGCAATGAGTGTCATCCCATTGTGTTAGGGTTCACAACGTTACCTGTTAAATCAAACAAACAAATGAAGGAACAGAGAGACAAAAAAAGTATTAAGGCCAATAAACCACAGGTCCATTACAGAGTTATCTGGTAAAGATTGGTAGACTGTTGAGCTTTATACAAAAATAAAAAAGTCTGATCTAGAGGGTATTTTCCGTAAAAAGACTCCGCAGAGTTCACTTTTTATTGAGCGGGAATTAGCAGTAGAATGGCGCTCTGTCATCTAAAAAGACAGAGTCACTTCAGTTCAAAACACCTAGCTATATATTTACAAAAAGTGAGCTGCATTTTTTTCGTATTCATTGTAACTTATACTTTCTAAACCTTTTTAACTTCTTTGTTCTCTTATTAGCATCATGATTCAATTTTATTTGTTACCGTTATTGTGTTCGTTTTCTTTTTGTAAATATTTAGATGTCCTTCCAGATGATGAAGTCGGCCAAATGATTATCGACGTCTTTGGTTGGCGTAATCATGCTATGCAACGTTATCGTCGTATTATGTATTGGATGCCTAAATTATATTACAGTAATCCGTGGACTGTACCATTTCGGATTATCGATGATCTTGATCAAAATCCAATCAAGCTGGGTTATTTAATTGCTGAAAGGATTTGTCCTGATCGTATGACGGAATTCACTGTTGTGCGGGTTAGTTAACTGATATAAGGTTTGATAGAGTTCCACTAAAGCATAATTGAATGCTGAAAAAATTGGTAGTCTTTTAAGGAGTGTAATGATTACTAGATCAAGTATAGATAAGAGTGTATTTCGATTCAGGTTACTTGACTTGATTTATTAAGAAGAAAACTGATGCAAAGTACTTCAATGTTCAGTGATTAGATGTAGTGATATGAAGAAAACTCGAGCACAGCTATTTTCATTTTTGAGTGACTCTATCTAAGCTTTCCGAGCAGAATTGAGATAATGTTTTCATCTGGCCAACTTGGCATTTCACCCAGCCTAATTTCACTCTAGTCATCAATTCGTAAATCAATAATGTATTTAAAATCATCTGATTTATCAAACTAACCAGCAAGATAGTTTTTGCTTCAGCAAGTGACTTCATCAACTAGTCCCTTTAATCAATGTGGTTAGTGTTATTAGAAATATCGTGATTTAAGAATAAGAAGCAGGATTATCAACACCACCTTGTAATACCAACAGTTAAAGATTACTAAGGTAGGCTGAGGGTAGCAATAAATTGTTTTCGTACATTTTCCAACTTTTATGAGGATACGAAATTTATATTTGTGGAGACCACCAAATAAATATCTAATACTGACAGCAATACTCATCCTGAGGAAGTATGGTGTCATTAACGAGTCTCTCTTAGAAACAGTTATAAAGGCTGTTGATAACCCTCAACCAATGGTTAGTAAATGCTGTTATATTTTCACAGCTTCATCAAACTGCTTGACAGAAAGAGACGGATGCTGGTGGGATCCGAACATGATAATGGGAAGCTAAAGCTGCTCAAAAGTAAGCTGACAGCCCTCTCAACGACCGTGAACTTTGGTGGTTGAGGTTTGAGTAGGAAATGGAAAAGTCTTCATCAATAGGTAATGCTTCCTAGAACAGACCACTGAAATATTTTTCATGACGTTTTAAGAAGTTTAACGAGCTTACTGGTACATTACACTTGCACACCTACTAATCACTCCCAATGTAAATGGGATGTGAAAGTCATCAATCCTCCAACCGCAGCTGAGGTTAAATAAGTTTTCTTATATATAAACTGAAAGAAAGCAACATAACTTAAAAATATGACTCCAGAGGCGTTTTAAGATTATAGTGATGGGATTTCTAGCTAGATTTACTAGGTTACTTGCAGTAGTTTCAACATATTACTGTAAACCGTTGGTTACTCTAGGTTGTATGAAAGTATTCTCGAGTGGTAATCACGGGAGTATCAGGTTCAGGGACGTTTGCTAAAAGTTTAAGTTAAATGGTCCTGTAAAGACTAGGAGAAACAAAATTGGATGAAAGCAGTCGGGCTTCAAGACCAGAAGAAGATGTGTAGGTCAATTCTTCAACCTTCAGCTGGTAGAAGGAAATAGGCATGTTACCGGAGTCCAACACCTGTTGTATTTCTCAACCTGAAAGTGGTATTTGATTTCCTCTATGAAGGGGTACTGTGGCGGTATTCGCTTGTCGAAGGAGCTCCGAGAAAGTATAATGTACAGAACAAGGAAATGTACGCTAACTCATGCAGCCGTAGAAGAGACTATAGAGAGTTTTCACCTGAAAAGAACTCAAACAATGGTGTTTTAGCGGACGTGCACTGCCGTCATTTTCTAAAGTTTCATAAAAGATGTACTGATGCAGGTAACGTTGATGGATTTCGATATTTCAGAGTATAATATGCTCCCGTGGAAGTCTTGTTGATCTGGGTTGTACAGACAATATTGCCCTGTTAAGTGTAGGTGCTGAAGTAATATATCCCTTTGAACACCTTAAGTTAAAACCTTAATATATCTGGTGTGCAGTTCACCCCTAAGAAATGTAAAAGAATGCCACACCTCTGGTCTGTACCGCCTATCAGTTTAAGAACATCATTTAACTTATTTCGGGAGTTGCATCAATTTCAGTGGACTGATTATTGATGACATGTCAACACGGGTGGAAAAGACTGGTTTGGAATTTACCAACTAGCGTCATCTTTGATGTAGACGTGATATTTGGCTACCTATCAAAAGACGCGAGTACTTCACAACAGTCCTCTGAGTGCTCCTTTGCGGCTCTATTAGACATGGTGGTTAGTGATGGAAGCTGTAAAGGGGCTTACTAACTTTCAGGATAGTTGTCTGCTTTCTATCTCTTTTATTTTGTGTGCACTATGATCATTTATAATCTGTGTTAGCTGAGACAGAAAAAGGGTGAAAAGTTTTAGGGATGACCAAACTAAAGTCTTGTAACAATCCATGACTGTTGGTTAAAATCAGGTTTCTCGACTAAGAACCATTGGTTAAATGCCGCAAATAACACGGCTGTAAGTCGTTCTCAATAGCGCGACTGTATTCTTTCGTTGTTATCGTGCAGATTGTGCAGATCATCAGTAATCTTCGTCCATCGTAGTTTGATTATACTCTTGTTCGCTTTTCCGAAGTGTGGTAAGTTGATCTACTGTACTTTTGCGCAATTCAGTTCAGTATACATCGCTAGATTAAACTTATCTCAAATTCTTGACTGTTTCAACTCACCGTGTGCTTCAATCAATATATTATGTTAGGTAGTATGACTTTACTGGCTTATTTGCTCAATTAAGCTTATTTGATCTTCGTAAATAGAGCATCTTAGTAAACCATCAGATCATAGCGTCACTACTGTCATGCTTTCTTCCACTACCATCTTGGTGGTTGTATATAAGTATGTGTTAACTAGAGACTTTCAGTTACAAAACAATTGGATGACTGACAGAACTAATAAAATAATTGTAACAATATAACGTTTATCCATCACAGGTGTTCATCCTACATTTTTTGCATTCACTAGATGCCCACAGCATCTTCGTCGCACTCATCTATACCTACCGCAGAAGAACCAGATTCAATGATCAGTGCACAGAGTCCCGAGCAACGTGCACTACTAGCGTACTGCACTAAACAGAAAAGTAATGATCGTAAACCAACTATTTATTTAGATGGGCCTCATAATGTGTGGTATCGAAATTTACAGGTTGGTGTAGTTATTATACTTTCATTTTCATGTTTTATGTGACGTTTTGTATACCTTTTTTAACATTCTAATCTGCATGGGAAAATAAAACAAACGTAAGTAACTAGATCAAATTTTTGTATGCTAGTTTGATGTAATCATGCGATGAGAGCAATGTATATTTTTCAGATGGATGAAAATTAAATGTACTCATTCCATCGGGACATCAGTCAGTAATTTTATGTTTTTACTGCACTTAATATGGTTATTTTCAAGAAATCAGGAGCCTAACCTTCCTCAGAAATGGATGGTCTAAAAATAACTTCCAAATTTCGCATTTTGTATAACCACACAGATTTATTTTAACCACATAAACTCTGCATTTTTCTAAGTGATTCATCAATTTTTAGAGGTCCCTATGTGCATCGGTGTCACGGCGGTAAAATGCTCACCAACCACGCATGTGGTTCGCGGTTCAATTCCCGGCCGATGCACTCACCTTGCTAGGCAAGTGACAAGGCTGGTAAAGAGGGAAGGCTGGGCATGGGGCTAGCAACCCCATCCCGTAAAAATAAACACCACCGCTACCGAAACTTCAAGCCTCTAGCTTGAAGTCTTATGTTCCACTGGGAGAACGTAAAGGAACAGAATTAAAGAATAATCTATGATAGAATACCTACGTACTTATTAAACCTTAAGCTTTCAATCGTTGTCTCTGACTGTAGCAAGTCTAGTTTGATGGCATAATGATGCACAATCTTCAATTTTCACGTATTTCGACTCGAATCTCATTTTAACTCACGTATTTTGAAGATGAATATCATTCGCCTTGATACATCAAAATCTGACTGCCATCTACGCGTTTGACTAGTTGTCAACTTTATTCAAAAACGTGCTGCAGCCCAAGCAATAAAAAGTCTTATTGTGAATAGTTTAACTAATGATAGGAAATAGTAGAATTAAGGATGAAAGTCAGAGCAGTATTTTCATACACTAAACTTGAAAAACATTCATTACTTTCCCATTGTTTCTCCATGGTAGAAGGAACAGTCTGAAAAATGGTCATAACTGATGTAGATAAGGTTTCAGTCTCACAGTCTTTCGAAATATATGGAGCAATAGTTGATACTGCATAACTGTTGTTCTTCATTCTGTCTATTGTGCCTCGCCCACTCTTTTAAGTAGTATCAAACCTGGTGAACAGTAAACAACATGTATTTTTTTTTTTATTTTTTTTATTTTTGATTACAGCTTGATTCCACACCGTATTTTTGGTACAAGTATGGAATTTTCAGCATGGATATCGGTAGCCCAAATTTCGCAGGCCGACCATAGATATCAGGTGTGCGTCGGCGTGGGCTCGTACCCCGGACCATATGCATGGTCGGCGAGAGTCCTAACCACTGTGCCACCGACGCCTGAGGTTAACATGCAAACTGCGTGCCCAAGCCGCTTAAGCCAATTATCCGTGATGATGTCAATAAGTAGATGATGGTCTTGGGCCCGTATGTGTCTCAAAAAGCTCGAGCTGCTTTCGCTGACTTACACCATCTCTGGCGTAGGCGTGACATCCGGTTATCAACCAAGGGACGTGTGTACTGCTCATCAGTTCGCTCCGTCCTTCTCTATGGCTCTGAAACATGGCCAATACGCGTTGAAGACATGAAAAGGTTGACTGCTTTCGATCATAGATGTCTGCGATCTCTGTCTCACGTTAGGTGGTTTCACAAGATAAGTAATGTTGACGTTAGGCGTAGAGTGTTGGGCAAAGAGGGAAAATCAATCGACGAGGCTATAAAGTTACATAGACTAAGATGGCTAGGTCACGTGCTGCGCTTGCCTAACCACCGCCTCCCCCGACGGGCATTACTACCTGATATAGGTGAAGGTTGGAAAAGAGCCAGTGGTGGCCAAACAAAAACATGGCATCAATCCATGAAATCCTTGACAGTTAAACTGAGTCAGGTAGGGAGATGCAGACTTCCGGGTTGGGGCCCTCGGGACTCTAGGAATCAATGGCTGGAGACAATAGGTGACATGGCTCAAAATCGTTGTCAATGGCCAGCGCAGATGTATTCAGTCTCTGTAATCTTTCATATTCCTTTCTACAATTACCCACTCTGTTTCACTCTTATATTTGTCAAACTCTATTGATTCTCTTCACTCATCTTCTTGTCTACCTTGTGTGCTATTTGGAACGTGGCAACTCGAACTGCTGCACTTCGGTGTCAAGTTCTATGTTGAATCCAGACAGACAAACAACTTATGATATTTTTGCATCAAAAAAACACAGCGGTAATCGAACATAGTGTTGTTGGAGAATATGTTTCTTTGAGGCAGATAAAAACTTTTTGTCCGTCTGAATTACATCATAAATTCGCCATAGCACTTACATTGAAGTGAACACTTAGTTGTGTTGGAAGAAAACAATTTTAAATCACCGATCAAGTAATGGTGTTCAACAATCCGGAATAATGTACTACTAATTTATTAATGTCACTAGTTAGATACCACTCATATCAGCCGGTAGTGCTTGCCTCACCAGTTCGAAGTGATCTAAACATCGTTTTTGGGCCGAGCTCATCAGTGGCCTAGCGAGTCGAATCACTTCAAACCACCCGAATTCTCGTTACCTACTTCAGTGAACTGGTAATACATTGAATCGAATTCCCAATTCTCAAATTAGTTTGGGATTAGGAATTAACACGCTTCGATGTGAATTGGCTGATATGAATGTTATGCAACTATTTATACCAGTCTAGTCATACAGTGTGCCTAATAAGTTCTGGAACACTCTTAGATGAATATTGTACACCTGCTCATATTTCAAATCTGGGTGTATCACCTCATAAATTGCTAATGATCTCGCCATATATCTTAAAGCAGTGTCAGATATGGACATCATCTTTAACCGTATAAGATAAATCAGGAATAATGCACAGAAGATCAAATTTAAAGTCTTACTCCCTGCTTCACATCCTTATTCAATATCCAGTCAAATCTGGTGAAGGCAGTACGTCCAGTTTTTCTGCGTCATTAGCTGTGAGTAATGAAAGTACTGAGTCATGAAAGCTCATCACTTTTGATGCAGTTGTGTTCTCTGAGCTGGATGGTTTACTTGCGAAGCTTTCATTGCCATACTACCAAGCGACATCTTCAGCGCATACTTCAATTTGAAGTGAACTTTAAAATTCCTCCACGTGAACGAGGGTAGCCAATCACGTCCAAGGTCACCAGGAGAGGTGACTAATAAACTCATAGAGAAATTTCAAAGCCCACTTCAAATTGAAGTATGCGCTGAAGATGTCGCCTTGTAGTACGGCAGTGAAAGCTTCTCAAGTAAACCATCCAGCTCAGAGAACACAACTACATCGAAATCACCCACCTGAGCTACAAATCTTCTTCATTATATTTAAGTTTATCACTGAGAGTAATTGTTATCACATGAATTCAGTGTTCTGTTATAAATTCTTCTCATTCGACCCTTAAAAGACTATTCATTTCAATTTTCGTTTATGACAGTAATCGACTTACACAATCATTCCCGTCATTGTTATTATGTATTAATAACAATTCTGGTAATCCATGTATGATGGTAACTTTTATGACTGCCTTTTTCTTTTTCTCCTATTTTCCAACCATAGACAACAGACTAACTCTCATAGACACAGTATACTTTAATTTGAAAAATAAAGCAAAATCGATGACAAGAATTTCATTTATAGTGTACTATTGATGCCTATAATCATGAAAATTAAATATGTAATTAATATTTTGTTTCTATACGTTAATACATACGATTGACATGAATTACACAAATGACCTTTACAACACCGTATATCGAATACTGATGAACATTGAGAATATGGCTTGAGATTACACTGCCGATTTGGACTTTCTTCTTCAGTATATATAGTCTGTAAACGTAAATAAATTTCATTTTATTAGAGAGGAACGGAAAGTATACACTTGTGATGTCATGTCTCTGTTGGTGGCTAGTAACTGAATTTGGAAATCACATGTTTTCCTAATTGGGACTTATCAGCCTGATATATCTTAATTTCAATAATTTATGATATTCTGCTTAAACTTGGATCCATCACTTGTGATTTTCACCTCTAACCACCAGTAAACAAGTAACATCAAACTGAAACTCTAGATATTACCAAGACATGCATATATTCAAGGAGTAGGATCCGTCAATAGAAACTGGTCACTTTGGTCCATGTGAATCAACAACAGGAAATTACAGGTACGAATAAATAACATGCTTGTGAAATTTCTAAAATATGGACTAGTGTATAGAAAAACCTTCTCATTAAAAACAGACAATCATCATAAATGTCACCGTTGTAGTTAATAGTGTTGATTGAATTCCGTCTACTTTTAGGTGTACAATGCAGTCCATAGTTGCTGCCCTGGTATTCTTAGATTTGCTGACTATAATGACTTAACGAACTATTTCATTTGGAATGAACATTCTTATAAGTTATATCATACCGAAAAAGTTGGGTGGATAGTGGTTAAACTGAAGGCAGTCACCATCGTGGTGTGAGTTTCTTTCACTATGTTAAGGGTATGAAAGGGAAGTTTTGTATTGACCCAAATGTAGGTTTCCTTCGGACTACCAGAAGTTTAGTTATGCTACATACTGGAGTTACATAAGGTCGACACCAAAATTGAATATCTCAGATTACACTTCACTCGTTCTTAGCGAGTCTTCAGACTTAATCAAACGGCCTGTGGACAGTCGGCCTCAAACAGTTATATCACGTGAAACCTACCAATTTTCAGTTTCAAGCATTCCAATAAGAAGAAAAAGTATCTACTTCAGGCAGCTTGGAAGTAGAAAAAGCCGCGTGTATCCATAAGTACTCAGTGCTCTTCTGTTCATCCTTTTCCGTATGTTTTCCATAAACCTAACCACCTTTTTCCTTATAGTTTCGTTATACTGTTTCTCTGTACCATTTATATTGTTTACTTCTTTGAATTGTAGCATCTCAAAATGGTATCACTCAGTAGAAAGCCTTAGTACCACGTGATTGGGTACTGTCATTTTCCGTCATATCACTGTATTTTTATTGCTTGTCATCGAACTAATTCTGTCTTTAAACCAAGAGACATTTGCATTTTGTCTCAAATAAAACCCCAGTTTCCTCAAGTATTACCTCTGGAGTACTCAAGATACCTTTAAACTCGTTGACTAGTTGGAAGAATCTGACGGAAGTTTAGTTTGTCGTGGGATCAAATTTAAAAATAAATAATAATACTTATAAATTTGTTTGCTTGAGTTTTTCAGTGGTCTACGAAGTTGAAATAATAATGAGACTCAAAATAGAAATACACAATATCTGAATTGTTAATCGAATATTTATGTTTGAGATTAGATTTTCAGTGGCTTTGAAGTAAGTGAGTCTTCACAATCTTCATATTAGTATGACTAACAGTTGAATAGGGGATTCAATAACTGTGGACATTATTAATTGCCTTTAAGATTCTTTCGTGTGGTAGAAATCCCAAGTTAGTCTCAGTTGATTCAGTCTTAAGTAATTGTTACTAAACCTTTAGTATGTTATTATCTAGTTATAATTAGCATGTGTTTTACCTTTTTCAGTATCGTCATTTCTTGAAACCCATCTTATATTGTAAGTTTGAACACGGATTTATGTTGGTTAGAGAACCATCGAAAACCAGGGAGTACTGGAAGGAAAATTATCATCCTAGTTTGGAACTCTTCATCAGTACTCACCTATGACCACACGAGACAACAAAACTGGTCCCGTAACCTGAAGGTCCCGGTTGTGATCCCAGGCGAGATATAGGTGCGCATTGTAGAGGAGTCCCAAACTAAGAAGAAACATATGTCCATTGTAACAGTAGAAGATAAGAGATGTGGTAACAGGCTGTTTATAAGGAAGACCCATCATACTTATACATTCTTAGTCATAATAAAATTCTGCTAGGTCAATGACAACAAATTGTTCTGATTGGTTGGTGACTGGTCCAAGGTAAGACAGGTTGTCCAGTGAGTTTACTTCATGCCCATGACGTGAGCTAAATTCAGATTTGAGGGTTAAGCACTCCTAACTCTGTAGTCATTGACTTGAAATGTTGATTTCAGTTTTGGCCCCATCATTTCAATTTGCATCACCCTACATCAGTACTTCCTAGTAGTTTTCAGTGGTTTTCTAACCTATTCTAATGCGTGATGAGCCTTGAAACCATCCCAATCCTTACAAATTATCACTTAAACATGTATGTACTGTGAAAGGATTGAAACTAAGATTCACGTTTTTTGCTGTTTACCATGTGATGAAAAGCTTTACATAGGTACATGAATCTGTGTAGTCTCACATTCACATTGTCTGATTCTGATGGTCATCCTGTATCTAGTCTTATCATTGAAATTCAATGGTCCAATTTTATCGACGTCAATTAACACTAATTAATAACCACTACATTAACACCAATAAATCATAATTTAATCAATTGGCTCTTTTGATTATAGCATACTTCTCTGTGGCGGGGGTGGTCTGTGGTTCGACGGTAGAGTGCTGACCAACCATCCACGTGGTCCGGGGTTTGAGTCCCGACCGGCGCACACCTTTACCTCCCTTAGCAGGTTATAATCCCAACAAAAAGGGAAGATTAGGCGTGAGGCTAGCAACCCCACCCCGTAGAAAACACCACTGCTACTAAAACTCCAAAGAAATAAAAAAATGACCTCTGTGTTCGGCTGCTAAACTTGGGGGTGTCAAAATCCATTGTTACCAAAATTTACGACTTGAAGGCACAAAGTGTATATGCTTTGTTATTATTATTATCTTGTTAAAAATAACTTACTATGCACTCGTGACAACCGGCCACAATAAAATGCTCTGCTTCTTCACTGTCTAGGTCACAGCCTTCGCATTGATAACATGAATATGTTTGTGCTTCAAAAATTAACTGCTTTAAGTCTCTGCTTTGGTCTCCGCTAGCACTATAGGTACTGTAGTAGGATAGGCCGTGTTTCTGATCAATCGGTTTTGTTTTGTTAAATGGTTTCGCTAGTTTAATCCATTTATGCTTGATCTTTTTATCTTTTAAGGTACCTGTGGCACAATTTATTTCTGAGAGCAAAAATCTGTATAATATTAGTAATACCAATGTTGATTTCATCATGTTTGTTTTTGTATACGCAAATAAATGTAATCATTGAGTATACGGAGCACTATAAAATGAAAATAGATTCCTTCTTTTATCAACCATGTCTGCATATTACTGTAGCATGTTTTATCTGAACCGATTGAAATCGATTTTAAAGCACACGTGATTCATTCAAATACATTTTCAATCCATGTACTTAATTCATAGTTAAATGTTTTGTGTTTTTTGGCGGTTTATATTTCAGAGGTATATTATATTAGTCATCGTATACAGTGTAATTCTGATGGGTTTTCACTATGGATAATAGATCTTTGCTTATCTTCATTTTACCGAACTACAGTAAAGTGTATGTAGTGACTATTGTGTCGGTTAAAATAGATTTTTAATCATATGTCATATAGTTGGCTAATACACCAACAGTCTCAGATTCATGCTTTCTAAAATAAGAATAATCGTGTAACAGTATAGTGTCCTTGATATTAATTAACAAGAACTCATGATTTCATCTGCTTTAATGGTGTTGTCACTGTGTATTATAACTAATCACGGTAATTCGCTTTCGGCTTTTATACTTGAACGAATTTTATATTGTGAAGAAGTGGGTTACTGAACAAAACAACAGCAGAGCAAGTAATCTTCCTTTCCTTTTGTTATTACACAAGGCCGCTTATTATACATTATGGACAGAAATCAGTGCTGATCGTTTGAAAAGAGAAGCCGATGCCGTCAAAATCAATCAAGTGTCGAAGTTTAGCGCAACAGGTAAACCTGTATAATTTTACTATATATGCCTATTCTAAGTTTTCATATTGTGCTGTTTGAATTTTAGCGTAATCTTAGTCTTCACCCATGGTTGTCTGTTTAGTGGCATTTATTGTATGCTGAGAAACCAGAAGAGTGATATCTTTTGTTGGTATACGTTGGACCGGCAAGGAGACTCGAGAAGACCTGGATTTTGCGAGAGATTTATGTTTAGTGTCACACAAACTCGAATATCTACAGGTGAAACACAACAAATTGACAGAAAAAGTAGTAAAGACATAACTTCAAGTGAACATAGTGAAGGAAGAGGCAATGAAGATAGCTGACGACCAACAGCAACAAGCACCAATCGCTATCGATGGGATAAATGTAGAGGAAGTCGCCTGTTTCACCTGACTGGTCAGTTTAGTGGCGGCACAAATGAGGCTGTTAAAATTTGGATCATTCCTATGAAGTCAGTCTGCACTCAGCGTAAGGAACAATATTCGATTTTTCAGCACTAGTCTCAAGTCAGTTCTTCTCTATGGTTCAGGAACATGGAGCTTCAACAGGCCTTAAACCTCCTTCAAAGTCTGCTCTCCCAAAATATTCATAATCAGTTGTCCAGAAAGGGTAAGCGACAAGGAAATGTGACAACAAATCAAACAAGTCCCTTATGACCAATAAAAGAAGAGGAGATGGGTTAGATATATGCAGAGGAGGCCATCGAATGGTTTCACGCACCAGCCAGGCCGTCTGCTGGAACCCGAATAAGAAATTATGACGCAAAGGAGATGAAATCTTGTGGGTAATCATGCACCTAGCTAAAAATGACAGCAGATAAAAAGTGGAAGTGGGGTTGTGTCGTTGAAACTGTGTTTGACTCGGCACCTAAGGAATAATTGTAAAGTTAAGTAAAGCACGTCATTCAATAGAAGTGTAGTTCCTCTTCATTTCAAGTATTTCGAATATGTGTCGCCCTTGTCTACTCATCACTTCCAATTGAAATCAATCTTTGCAAAGCTTGCCAGAGTGGTATAAGACACAAGTGTTTGACTGTTGTTATCAATTTTGTGTACAGGTTCTTAGTGTAACAGTTTGAGAGTCAATGTTAACATGGTCTTAGGGTGGACGCATTGCCTATTCTTTACGTCTTAGATACTTAAAACAGCTTGGTCGATTTATATTGAAATGGCCGCTCTCCTCATACTATTCTTTGGTTATTTTCTTACCATTATTTCTTGTTTCGTTATTGTTGTAACTCTTGACAACATAAATTGATATACACGTGTATTAGTTTGTTCATTATAAACATGAGTCAATGAAGCAGTGCTACTTACTGAACGATTTTTCGAAACATACTTGTTGTGCATAATCACTTCAGATGTAATTCCAAAGATTGAATTTCTCTTTTTACTAACTCTAATTTGTTATTAATTTGTCGTAGTAATAATAGAATTCTCCAGAAATAAATTACATCTGGTGAGTCATTACTGTCACAGAAGTTGTCAGTTTGATTGGCAAACAAAACTCCTGTTATTAACCTTTCATTCCACCCTGAACCAAGTTTCAAAGTTCTAGACTTATATCTGATGTGATTATTTACAGCAAGTTGGGTTCAAAAGGTCATGTATTGAAAAACACTCCTTTACTGTTCAATGCATTTAAGAAACGAACTTGTGTGAATTTACACACAACCACAATGCCCGAATTTTTCACATTTATTAAAGTGATCTGTTTCTGTGACAGTTTTGTTTTGACAACCGCAACCATTGTAGTAGAGACGTTAATGCTTGGGCACTTTTCAGATTTACGACGTCTATTATTTTCAATCCCAAAAACTCACTTTATGTGTTCGTCTTTGTTTCTCTTCCTAAGAATTGAACTTGCTTCATACCGATATCTCTATTAAGGTGATATAGTTGTATTTGTGTATTAGTTAGGAAATTATAGTATACCTAGGTCCAAGGCTTCTTGCCGATTTCCTCCAACTATCTAATATCATGAAATCAATGTGCACCGTTATGGCAAGCTACCTAGAATGGTGGCCACATTGCAAATCTGACTGATAGAATTCAATCTGCACCAAAGAAAGGACTAGACACATTACACTAGTTACTACTGTTCAACGAAAATACCCACTACAGTCCTACAGGAAGTCAATCGCGAGCCCGAATAGCTCAGTGGTGACATCTGTGGCTGCAGCACTGGGTGATGTAGATTCGAATCTCAGAAGGGACATGAGTTCCTTCAAGGTTGCAGATACGCCGTGCTGACTAGCACGAAACCTAGGTGCAAGGCCTCCTGCCGATTGCCTCCAGATATCTAATATAAATATAGCATAATGTTTTGTTAGTTTGAGTGTCACATTTTTCCAGTGCTTAGCAGAATCATAGAGGTATATTGATATGAGCGAAACCTTTATATGAAACGTTAAGTTTCTTAGAATGTACGCAAGACGAAAAGTCAAAAGCATTTTGAGTACTAGATGGTTGGAGGCAATCAGAAGTAAGCCTTCAGCCTGGTACTCGTCAGCAAGGCGTACCTGCGACCTTGGACGGACTCATGTCCCTTCTGAGATTCGAATCTGTGTCACCCAGTGCTGCAGTCAGAGGTATTACCACTGAGCTATTCGGGCTTGCAATGGGCCTCCTGTAAGTGAATGGTTGACTAACTGTATTTAGTTGGATCCTATATAACAGTCAAGACAGTGGAAAGTGTAGGTGTAGGTGGTTACACAAGTAAAAAAATTTGTTACACTTGACGCATAGGTTGTGAAAAATGCTCTACTGAAATCACTTAATAATTTTTGTCCATCGAGCTTGTTGATATTTAAATAAAAAGAGGATTCTAAAATCTTACTCAGTACTATGCTACTTAAGAATATATTTGATAGATGAGGTCTATATAAAGGAGAAAGCTAATAAACTAGTATAGGTGTTTCCAAATATAAGCCAAAAAGTGAACACAGAGTCTTGTACAGAAATGCATTTGCTAAACTTAACTTGGTCTCAGCAGTACATGAAAAGTGAGTTGTTACGTTTTTTTGTTGTTGATATTTTTGCCGGGAAGCGAGCGTATTGGTCATATCTTCACTCTTCGACAGATTCTGGAACACATACACTAATTACTGTTGTTTAACACGTACCACATTTCTGGACCTGCAGGCGACAGTCCACTCCATCCACCAAGAAGTGGTGGGGTAGTGTTTGTCCGTGAAAGGAGTGCTGAGAGAGTATATCGCACTAGTCAAAGCATTAGCTCTACTCAAACTCACACAGTCATGTATGAGTTTACGGAAAGTTGTCATCTGAAGTGATGTCAACCATTGGTCATCTTCAGCGATGCCACTGTCCCCAATTTTGTTTAGTTTTTCGTCATGGATACACTAATGGAATTGACTCTAACTGACCTTGGTGACTTCCGGATTGACTTGTTACCACGGTGTATTCTCGTCCATCTAATCAGGGTATGTGGATGATATTTTCCTCGTAGTTGATGGTGATGAAATGGTCTTCTGAATGCCTTGAGGGCTGATAGTAAACGACGTGTTGGTAAATCACTCAAAAGATGTAGTATTATGAGTGAACTAGTATTGGGATACATTTATTCTAATGTATTTGAATAGTCTGGCAAGATGTTGGTTAGTTTCAGTCCACATTGATAAGAAATCTACGAATGATAAACATTCTTTTCACTCCTGTCTGATGTAAGATGATGACATTGAAGATAGTGAAGTGATGTAATGTGTTGACTATTTGAGTTATTTAAGAAATTGCATCAGCTCTCATTACGGATGTAACAGACTGGTGTGAGATTTGTCAACTTAGGTCATCGCTGGCGTAGACGTGATATCCGGCTGTCGATCGAAGGATGTGGGTACTGCAGAGTATTTCGCTCTGTTTGCATAATAACAGCAGTAACAAATTGTTAGGAAGAGGCAAAACACATGCAATTATCAAGTTATTATCATGTCGTTGACATGCATTGTTTCTGCTTTCTGATTGGACGCTTGCACAATTCCAAACTCTCAACCGGATTGGTTGATTTCCAGTTTACCTTATTTTTGTATAAATACAGTCACTTTTGTCATAAATAAATGATTCTGGTTTTACCGCTGATTATCGCGTGTTCTGCTTTACCAGTTAAGTGGGCACTACTGGTCAGTAGTTAAGCAGTTATCTCGTGACAAAGATCAAGCATCATAACACAAATATTGTAGTGTTTTAAGCCATATAGACAATAGAAAAGAGAGATTTTAACGGCTGTAGTCAATCATACTAAGGAGGAATGGAGATTACCAGACACGGAGAAAGACATCAGATGTCTAATTAAAGTCTAAACAAATACATATTATATTTATATAGATAGAAAGAGTTTAGAAAACTGAGGAAAATTATTAAAGAGTAATATAACCTTGGTTGTCACCTGTTATTTCCGTAATGGATAGTGGTTACACACAATTTTTATTGCTGTTACTTCATGTAAACTCCTGTTGTAATTCCTATGTACTGTACAACAATGATGAATCAAGTTGATACTTAACCTAATCGCTCTCTGTAAATTATGGCAAGTCACGATAATGTGGTAAAAGTAGTAGCGGTAATATTTCTAGTCCTAGTAATTTTAATGTTTTTTAACAATCATGATTAACTGCTGTTTTATTCAAATGTCATTTCAAATATTTTCCTTTTCAGAGCCTTGGAATCTTAAATTTCTTAAATATTCAAAAAGCAGTCATAATCTAGTGTTGAATGATACAGACACAAATGGCACCAGTCAGTCACTTCTACCTCACATAAGTCTCTTACCGATTGCGAATCCAGTTGGCACTGAAGTACGTCTTTCGAATAGTGATGTCAGCACAAAGTATATAGCTATGTCTGAGCCAGAATATGACAACCGTTGGTTAACCATTCGCCAGAGCCATACGTATAAATATTTACCCGACAATCTATGTCAACATGAACAAGGTGAAGGTACAATTCTTGCTGTTGGTATTGTTGTCCCAACGCCAGATGCTTTAGATAATCAAAAGAAGTTATACGATTGGGAGGTTTCCAATAATATTGATCATATAGAGTCTAAAGATTCTATTAATCGACAGAGGCATCATGAAAGATCTTCTTTACCACCAGTTCCAAAACCCGCACCGTCTGCATTATTACGTCTTTGGTTAAATGAATTGCATTCAAAGAATCCTTGTTTCGATGAGGCTACATTAGTCATACGAGTCCCGACGATTATTGACAAGCAAAGTAACTTTAATGTGGATAATAATATCAGCAATCACGATGATCTACATTCTGTAGATAAAGAAAATGATTCGATGATGCATAAGTCCTATAACTAATGAAATTGATTCACTGTTATTTGTATTCAGAAATTGTACATATCTCCTTATAAAATCTCAACTTTTTTTCCTTTGGAGTGTCTTTTTATACTAAAATTTAATGTAATATTCGCTTTCCGGACTTCAGTTGTCCAAATTATTAAGGTATTTTCAATGTAAATGTCAAGCGATAAGGTAAATAGTAATTATTATAATCTTATTAATGATGTGCTGATTAACTACAGGTTTCAAAATTATATTTAACACCACGACAAACCCTTCAGCTAAGTGGTGGAACATATTTTTCTTGTCATCAATAGTTGAAAAGAAAAGTTTCATATCTTGACCCCAAGAACGTTTAGCAGCAAAGTGTACAAATGAGCTGTCATTTCCTATACACATAAGACGCGTCAAACTACTGAACTTTAGCAGAATATCTAACTTCTTTCAAAACAGCTTAAACTAATAAAGATTAATAAATAAGAATGGATATATATCACTAACTAATAATACTTGGTCAAAGTTTCCGACTGTCTATATCTACTTATGGAGACGTTAAGACATTGTTTTACAAGTGTTTATCCGCACACACACACACACTGTGTTTAAAGTGTTTAACAAAGGTAGACCAATATTTGTAAGTCCAAGGTCAAATTTTGATCACAACTCGTACAATTTTGCTTATTATACTTGTTAAAACTTGTTTTATGACTCATGATTGGACAAAGTTTTTAAAAACAAGAGATGTTCCTTTTATATATAAACCTCTGTTATGTTAGTTTCGATTAATTTCCCTGAAGAAGTTCGGACCAGACTACCGAACGAAACGTTGGGATTACTCATTTCAATCTCGCTGAGATTTCACAAATATAATTTTTTACAAATGTCTAATGAAGATTGATTGCATTCTGAAGACGTGAATTTCGACATTTTCAGAATTGGACTGCTCAAGGGTTCTAAGGAATTCTCATCCGCACCTTCTCGAGTTATGTAAAAAATGTTCTACTTAAGCGAAGGATATTATAAATGATAATCATATCGCTTCGAATATTTCTGTGGTACACAAGCTGAGAAATCTGGGCAATATTTATAAAATACCAGGCTACGTAATAAGGAAAAAGTGTTTGCTATAAACTCTTGACTTTAAGTTTATGCAGCATCACCACTGGAAAAAAACACCAGTCTGTAGTCGTAGATGCCTTTAAGTAATTATTCCTAAGTTTTGTTTGTTAGTAGCATGCACACCATTCATTATAGAAAAAAACCGCCCGCCCGAACTCTTGAAAATGAATGTTTACCTTTTAAACCCTAACAAAGTGTTTATCAAAATGACAATGAGCTAACGTTGCTTAAGATCGATATTAGTATTACCTCAGTGGTATCCATATTGAAAACAGCACATGGTATGTCAAGGCATTATTTCATCCATTTAGGATTGTAGTAGTACATAAACTATCGAAACCACTTCAGAATTTTGTGTGTAGAATGAAAGATGAGTGGAATTTTTATCTAGTGGATCAACCTTTAAGAATATTCACAATAATATGGTGGCAATTCCAGTTTATTTAGAGCATAAACAATCACTTTTGTACTATCTGAGATCTGACCAAGTGGATCAATAATTTCGTACACTGACACCAATAGAAAAGAAGGCGACTTGTTCACGTTACAACTAGGTTAGGAACTTATCTGACCCCCAGTCCAATTACAGATGAATATAATTCGGGAGATAAAGATATCTAAGTGGTTATTTGACCTGTAGGTGTGTGTGATTTCTCAATAGATTTTTGTCGTCTTTTCCTCTCTTATCAAAATTCCTGATTACAATGAGTTATACACAAATATGTGAAATTATTTCTTCACTTTCCTCAACATGCATAAGTAGTGAAAGACGAGTATATTATAAAGATGAGCTTGATAAAAGGTCGATTGTAACTGAAAAACAAATTAATTTCAGAGTACCGAATAATAGTTTTGTTCTCATCTGAATCACTCATTAACTCCAGGCAATCTCTAGTGCCTGCTGTTTGTATTTAAGTACAGTAGGACTCACACTCAATAAATAAGCTGTCATGATTAAACTAAATGACTAAACCAGCCACTTAGTAAAAATACTGGACGTATAAAATTTTGCGCTAATTATTTGGTTAGTTTCTCATAACTTCGTCATGGGACTGAAAATTTGCCTGTGTCACTAGAATAGACGAATGCCTTTAGAACGCAAATGACGTGCTTCAGGGTATGAAAAACTGAAGCGTATTTTGCTGTCGAAGGTGGAAAGTGCGAGTAGTCTGTGGGTTGTGGCCGTTAGCTATTTGTGCCAAATTTCTCATGTTACGTAGGATGATGTAGTAATGAAACGGTAGAACACGAAAACTAAGTAAAGAAATGTTAATTTGGACATAGGTATCTTTAACTAGCTAAATTATATCTATATATATCCAAACCAAGTTCACTTTTAACGGTTTGAAAAAATTTGGGTATTGGGTATATGATATTCATTATAATAGAGGTTTTTTGTATTTCCCAATGAATGAAAAAACAAAACGAGATTATTTTTACAGTAAAAAAATACAAAAAAACCTCTATTATAATATATTATGTCTACCTTATCTTCAACGCACCATTGGCATAAATCTTCGTGTTGTGGTACTTCTGGACTGCATGTTGTTTTTCTTTGTGTTCCTTTCATGTCTTCCATGTATCTCCACAGCGCTGTATCATTTGCCTTCTCTGATATCAAATGTATCTCCCGGTTATTTGATGTTTTTATGCTGATGTACGTCTCTTTATATACTACTGATAAATTTTATCAGTAGCATACACCACAATAAGTAATATTAAAATCAGACACCTCACAGGGATGGGATATCCTTTAAATTTAAAGACTACGACAAACTGTTTTCAGACATTTCCAGTACGAGTCTTTGAATATAAAATTAACTTACCAATTATCGGTTTGAAATGTAAAGAATGCCGTTCTTACACAAGATAGGCAGAAAGATTTTGTTAGCATGAAGTGAAGTGAATTACTAATAAAAATAATTGTTTAAGAAGTTAAATAATGAGTTAGAGATTGGCAAGACGCGTTAAGACAATGGTCAGGCTGATCTACAGATGAAAGTTATTTTGAATCCTTTCCCTACTAATCAACTGGTTCAACTTTCCCCTCATTTTGTTATCAGGCCGAGAGTTTACGATGTTTATAACTAGCCATGCATCATTGAGCATCCCCAAAATAAATTGCAGTGCACACTGAGACACAGTGCTTAAAATGCTCAAAAGGATTTTAATCCAACTTTACGGTTATGCAGTATTTTGATTAATGTATTTGCGGAATGCATTTACTATGTATCTGTGCTTTACAGTGTAGTGTGCTGAGTTGGTCAAATAAGACTACTGTCAGAAACCGATTCTGTAATGTTTTATTCGATGTTGTAGATAGTGACTTCTTCAAAGTGTGAGCAATACCCGCTTCATGCTATTAGTCAGCTGACTTATGTTTTAATTAAGTAATTATACTTTCGTAACAATCTTGCAAACATACTTACCAAGTCTGGCAAATAATGTGGATCATATGGCTGCAAAGAAGATAGTTAATATGAGTATAGAGCTGTGGAGACTCGTTTTCAGGCTAAAATTGTATGAAATATTTATCATGGACAATTTAGGGTTCTTACAAAGAAGATATGATGACCGCTGAGATGAGAAAAACAACTGTATGGTAATGTATGTGATAGCTGCAATTTTTTCTGCCTGTATATGGTATTCACTTAGCTGAATATGTCAAGGGTATGCAAACCAATTTCGCGAATCTTCAGTTTGCAGGAAACTACGCTAAACCCATTTTTGTTTATATCCTAGTTTTATTCCTTTTTATGGAACATAAGGCTTCAAACTTGTGCTATGGAGTTTCACTAGTGTTGTTTGTTTACGGGATGGGGTTGCTAGTCTCGTGCTCAACCTCCCTAACTCTAACTAGCATGGGGAGGGAGATATGCTCTATGGCTGGGAATCAAACTCTGGATCACATGCATGGTCGCCAAGGATTCTACAGCTTCATTACCAACTTGCACAATCTATGTTATGAAGGAAGTAAATTGTCATTATACCGTTTTACGCACTATGAGTTATTAGACACTGAACTTATTCGCATCCGACAGGCTAGCATTACTATTCAGCTCAAGCCCTTTCGGAGATATAATGCAGACTCCCATGAGAATGGAGTCACTGATCCACATTCACTAGTCCTGGCAGTTATACTCTGCGGTAACTGAGCAGTTGCGTTATGGCGCATAAGTTTATCTCAGAAGTAATTAAACCCTTACGAGACGCTTAAAATAGCCATCCTGAAGAGAAACAATCTCCCAGATATTGCTGGTCTTGACGAACTCCTCGACAATGTAGAGTAAAGAGGTAGTTTGGCCGTACACATGCTTTCATTATTTCGAGAAATAAACCGCCAACGAATATGAGATGATGAACTTGTAGCTGTAGGTAATTCCCCAGAATTGTTGGCCACATCATTCATCACTGAACATTGGGTGCTGACCCTCACTGCTTAAGTCAACTTGTTTAGCTGAGGGCTTTCGGTCAAGCATCTATGCAATTTTGCACGCCGTTGCGTCACGTTCGTTCTTTCGTGCACGATTCCTAGCTTGTTGAACAACCATCTCGCACTCTGATTCGGTTGCGAAATATAACTAGCGATTCGGACGGTCAATTCTGGTGTTTGGGTCTGCTTTTGATCTACTCGGAATGAATACTATAGAAGTTGTGGGTATTAGATCTTGCGTTACTATACTTAGTAATATTCGTTAACGTCAATACCGTCAACCTCTAAACTGGTGAGCCCTACCGCGAACTTCATCCTTGATAAATACACAGAAAATTCCGGTGAGTTCGTTCCAATTGTTCTCGTACTATTCTCAAACTATATATATTTCGCCATGGGTGATCATAGTCCTAAGGTCATCCTGCAGTGAGAACATGCTGCTAGCCGACTGGTAGACGTTAATTTACGTCAATGTTTAGGTTACTAATGTTGGCAGTGAGAAAATATGATCAAGGCTGATTCAACGACCAATCACAGTAGACTTAACATGGGCAAATAAGATGCGCAAATAGATGACTTAACTTTCCGAGAAACCAGAAACAACCAATCAGAAGACTGTGTTTGTCTGCTTGAATAAGCTATAATAACGTACATGAAATATATATAAATATGTGCTGATTTCCGTAATAAAACTATCTGTTGCCGGCCCTTGTCTTCTGTTGTTATAATCCTTTTTCGATCAACTACCAAAACTATTTAGGTTGTGCTATTTTGTCCAGATAATGTAGAATTTTGGTTTCAGATAGCTGAGTCTGATCTCAGCGAGCATGGGTTAACTGACCAACGTTCACAGTTCTGTGCAGTTGTCCATGCCCTACCGCGGGACTTAAGCAAATGCATAACTGTGCATATGTCAAGCCCATAGCCAAGTAACTCGTATGAGTTGCTTAAAGCAACCAACCCCAGGAAAAACGTTCTCACGGATCGACAGCATCTTGATGAACTATTTTGCAACGTGGAGTTAGGTGATCAATCAGCTGTGAGCATGCTCCCAAAAATGAGGGAGGTTATTTGCCAACGTCACTACGATAATGGACTTTCCAGAGAACTTATCGAAACTGCCATAGTCACTAGAGGTTAAGCTTGTGACACCTCAAAGTGTCATTATAGACGGCTTACCTGCCTCTGTCGATAAAATTACAGAAATATCAAAACGGCCAGTCACTGATATATGCTCAGTTGCCGAACCGACTAGGAGGAGAGACACTGCAGTGATAGAGTTATGCATCACCATCCAGCGACTATTTAGGTCGGATAACCT